GCCGTCGGGGTGCGGAGGAGCGCGGGCAGGGTTTCCAAAGCCCCTTCCCGCAGAATAAACACTTCGCACTCAGAGCTGCCCGCAGCGGGGTCCCGCAGCACACACACTCGGGCATAAACAGTTTGCGTAACGCTTCCTCGGCCGGGTGCAAGCCGAGTGCCAAATTTCTTTTTTAAAAAGACGAAAAAAACTCTGATGGGAAACAAACATTTAATGAGGCACAAGATATAAACGAAACATCACAAGGCATGTGTTGCTAAAATGCTTAAGCAGGAAGCATATGATTTTCCATGGATGTTTTCCCAGGTGAGTCATGGTACTTGCTGCATGCTCTTACTCATCACTGAAGATCCCAGTCCGGTGGCATGTACAGTAGATAGAATGGGAAGATTTAGTTGGGCAGATGCATTAAGTGCAATAGGGAAAAGCACCTTTTCCAGTGCTGTGGCAGACCAGTTGTGAACTTGTGACTGCCAGCATAGAAACCTCTATGCTCTCAGTTTGTCCTTTTACTGAATCCCTGTGGCAGCCAGTGTTACACTAGAAAGCTGTCACTTTTCATAACACGAAGTGCTCTGCATCGGTCATGCAACTCTTTTCCAATTCAAGTGAAAACAAACACCCTTTCAAAGGGGGTTTCCTCTCCCCCCTTTTTGCCCCTGGGACCCACGACTGTGTGCCAGCAGCATTTCTCAAACCCTACTGAAGCCAAGGTCCCTTGCCCCAGATCTCATCCCGGCTGAGGAAGGGACCCTCAATGCCTGGCCCGAAGACAACTGCAGTCAGTGACCGTGCATGACCAGGGCTGCAGCATACCCCGAGCTGGGAGCAATCAAATACTCTCAGCTGCCGGCGTCTGACATGGGATTTTGTAGCCAACCCCTCCCAGCCGGGCTCAGGCAGACCCTTGTCTCTGCCCTGGGGCCATCTATGACAGCCCTACCACCAACTGCAGTCACAGGGAAACCTCCCATTGACCAGGTCCTCCTCCACTGCATTCCTGGAGGCAGCAGCCTGGTGTGCTAAAAACAAAAGGACCTGATGAACACAAACAGTAATCTCAACCTGTCTGATGGGGCTGACTGAGCCCTGCTCTTCCTACACTTCCCAAATCTGCTTTGCAATGCCACAAGTGAGGGAACCGCAGTAAATGTTCATCTATTTGCATAGCGGCCAACTGCTCTGTGTTACACGTAAGCCAAAGAATCCAGGAAAGCAGCCAAAGACATAAATTAGGCCAACTACTGGCTGGCCTCACTGATAATATGATAATAGCACTTAACTTACCTACCCCTCAGGAGAGCTACGTGGGTTAGTTAATGTTTATACAATGCTTTGAAAAGGATGTTCAGGAGTTGTAGGTGATATTACATTGACCTTACAGTTCTATTTGTTTACTTCTCTGGAGCAAAGGTGTCCTGCACAGTTACTGTAGGTCATCTCCAACACAGCTTTACCAGCACACTGTAGGAAGCTAACTTGACTGAGCATTTCTTATTCGCTAAAAATTTCCCAAGACTGCTCACCCAGGGAAATCCAGAGACTGGCTTCAGAAGTGCCTTGTACTGGGTGCACAGCAAACAGCGCTCCACGGCTGTTCTGAGGAAATGCTGTAGGAAACCCATATAGAACTTTTGTGGTAAAAATGGTTTTTATCCAGAGTGCTTCTTGAAGAGTGGGAGAAATGGGGGATTCTGTCAGGCTTGGAAGGCTTAGCACTGCTAGTGCATAACATAGCTTAATTGCAGCTATGACACTGTAGGCAAAAGCTGAATAAACCCCAGATAAAGGATTTATTGGATGCTAAACTGAAATGACCTTCAGATATAACAAAAATGCCAAGAAGAAGACATTAATTGGTGCACAAAGCTGACTGTGTATGACTGGCCTGGTGATAAAGAAGACATTATGCACCTCAGATGCTTTGACCTCCACACATCCAAGTCAACAGATTTTTTTTTTATATTAAACAATTCCCCAAATACCGCTTTGACCTACTCTGAAAGTAATTAACAAAATGTTGGAGAGCCCCTAATCAAGCATTGCTGCACCAAGAGTTACATTGATAATATGTGAGAGTTACATAGGTTTCATGGTGATTTTATTCTTCTTTGACTCTATAACTGTGGATTTTAAAATTTGACAGGACTTCCAGAAAAGCTTGAACAAAAACCACAGAGCCTCAGCTGTGTGGCAGCTTGCCAGCATAATTTCAACCAAAACTTTTTTTTTTTCTTCCATTTACACTCATCAGCAACAGCCTTTCCAAACTTATGCCATGCTACAATTAAACACTGGTGTCAGCAACAGTTTCTGATGGTGGGAAAACTTGGGGTGGGGACGGAATGGTGGGAAAGGGGGTGAAGACTTGAGGCCTTTGCTGGCAGGTGATATTCCTGTGGGTTCTCACAGCCCGCCCCCTGATGTGCTGCACAGTGGGCTGGGTTGCAGCAGTGCTGCAAGGACTGGGTTGTAGCAGTGCAGGCAGTCTCCTGGCTTGGGGGCAGCATGCTGCCTTGTCGGCAGCTTGCCTTTCCTCTGCTTTTCTCCACTTCCCCAGGGCCACCTGGATCCCTTTGGAGACGTCGGGAAAAGGGTGGCCTGGCCCTGAAGCCTCGGCCCTGCTCTGGTGCCCGGGGTCGGGAGGGCAGGGCGTGCTCATGTCTCACCCTGTCGGCTGCCTGCTCTGCATCTCTTGATAGGCAGGCATCTTCCCAAGTGCAGGGAAACCCTGAAAAGTTTTGGGGTGGCTTTTTAACCTTTTTTAGGCGCACTGAGCTCCACAGAGGGGAGAGCTGAGCAGCAGTGCCACACTGTCCCACAGCCCCGCCCGGGTTCGGTGGGTACCAGCGGCACACGGTGTCAGTGTCGGCGGGGGCAGCATCCCGCTAGCGGGACGCGTCCGTTCTGACGGGGTGCGGTGCTCCAGCTCAGGAGCCGCCTGCAGCCCCGCTCTCTGCAGCCCCGCTCTCTCTCTGCCCCTCCGCAGGTCTGCGCGGCGTGGCGGCGGCGAGCAGTCCCTGCGACAAGGCCTGCAACCCTCGGATGGGCAACCTGGCGCACGGGCGGGCGCTGCGCACCCAGACGTCCTGCGGCCGCCGCCACGCCGAGCCCTTCTGCAGCTACAGCGAGGACGCGGAGCGGCGCTGCCGCCGGCCCCGGTGCGGCCGCTGCAGCGGGGCCCAGGCCGGGCTGGCGCACCCGCCCGCCGCCATGGCCGACTCGCCCTTCCGCCTGCCCCGCACCTGGTGGCAGGCGGCCCACGATGCCCTCCGTGAGACCATCCGCCTGGACCTGGAGGCCGCCTTCTACTTCACTCACCTGATCATGGTCTTCAAGTCGCCCAGGCCGGCTGCCATGGTGCTGGAGCGCTCCCAGGACTTCGGCGAGACGTGGAAGCCTTACAAATACTTTGCTGCTAACTGCTCGGCCACCTTCGGGCTGGAGGATGACGTGAGGCAGAGAGGAGCCATTTGCACTTCCAGATATTCGAGCCCCTTCCCCTGCACTGGAGGAGAGGTAAGTGTGCCTGGGCTGGGACGGGAGAGCCCCTGCTCCAGCCCCCTTTCTCCCTGCAATCTCTGCACCCGTGTTTACGCTTCATATTTCACTATATTTCACTGGCATCGCTTGTCATTTCACGAGGCAAATTAACGTAATTCACTCCTAGGTGATGCGGGCACCACCCTTCCTCTTGCTTTGCTGTGTTCGCAGTCCCTCTCTTTTCAAACCAATTCCTTTCCTTCCACCTGGTGAACCCCGCTACACAAGTGCAGCCTGGACACGTGGTTCCTCAGGAGTGCCAAAGGGAGCGTCACTCTGGACAGCTTTCTCCAGATCTTGCAGCCGTGTGGTTTTAAGGTGATGCAAATCAGTCTCACCAAAATGCAACCATGTTAAAATGAATAATCACCAGATTGACTTTTAATAGTGACTGCTTTCACTGAGATGCACGCACGTAAGCAGTCAAAGTAGCTACTCACCTCGCACCGAAGTATGGTTCCCATAAACCAGGTTAGCCAAGTAACTTAAAAACTAATACCTTGTCATTTTTCCTGTGCACACTTATGTGAAAAGAACTTGGAAAAAAAAGGAAGAAAAACATCAGATTTGCTAAGAAGAAAATTATACGTGAAGGTCGGACGATTTTCAAGATCAGAAACAGCAGATAACGAGTGATGCTTTTGTGGGCGCTACCAATAATTCTCTTACCAGCGTGCCATTCCGTCCCCCGGTGCTGGGGAGCTTCCCCCGGGAGCCGCGGCCGTGGGATCGCCCTCCTCTGTCCCCCCACTCGCGGGGACGCATTCCCGATCACCAGCCCTGCACTCTGCTCCCTCTAGTGGCCTAATTTAATGAACTTGCCTGAAAACTTAATCAAATTTACAATTTCCCTCTGGCCTAACACAGAGAAAGGATAAAATCTGACTGGTGAATCAGGAGATCTCTTATATCATTACAGTTTCTGCTGAGAACTGATTTTGAGGTGAAAGCCTGATTCTTGGAGACCAGCATTCATGTTGAGAAAAATCGTGTGTTCAGACCCCTTTGCAGTCACTTGTGGTCACCTCTAGCCATGCTCTGACTAGGAAGTCACTCTCTGCACTCTCTGGGAGCTGTTTTTTCACTAAAATGCATCTGTTAGCTGTGTCCCAGGAGGCAGCCAATGTCTTCCTCTGGGAGAAGCTATTCCATGCCCTCATCAGCTGAGAAACAAGGATCTCCAGACCTGTCAGACAGAATCCAGAGTGTCTATTCCATTACATTTTAAATCAAATGGTGAGAGAAAAGTGCTACCTTTTTTTTCTTGCCACCCTTTGCTTGTGCCCCCAAAAAGCTGCCTAAACTTCCTTTCAGAGTGCAATATATGAAGGGGCTTAGGAGAAAGGTGGGAAAAGACTTTTCAGCATGGCCTTTTCTGATAGAACAAGGGGCAACAGTTTTATACTGAAATTGATTTAGATTGGACATAAGACATTTTTTGATTATGAGGGTCATGGGGCACTGAAAGAGGTTGCTCAGAGAAGCTGAGAATGGCTTGTCCCTGGAAGTGTTCAAGGCCAGGTTGGGTGGGGCGTTGAGTGACCTGATCTACTGAAATATGTCCCTACCCATGGCAGGGGTGTTGGACTCAATTATCTTTGAAGGTCTTTTCCCAGACAAACAATTCTGTGGCTCTGAATCAGAGCTAACTACGAAGTAAGACCCACAAAAGGAAGGATATATGTTCACCACCGGGAATTTCTCAGGCCCTTGGTACTTTTGCCAACCTCTGTGTCCCACCTGAATCATGAAGTTATGCCAGCCTGTGATGGAGGGCATGGAGAAATCCACAGCTCTTAGGCCAGTCAGTGGGACTTCTCTTGGGTATATGATTTGCATGCTCCCTTTTTAGCTTTCCAGGGGTTTTTACTCAGGGACAAGAAACCCTGGACATCTTACAAGGCAGTAATTGCCCCACTGGTACTGGGTGCCCCGTTGCTTGCATCCTGGTGCACTTTTCATTGTGGTCACTGCACACCAGCATGGTGCTGTCCCTGCACACAGGATGGGAGCTGTGCCTGGAGAGAACCTGTACGATTCCCAACCTCAGGCTAGCTCCTCTCTGGGCTGGTGCAATGTGGGGACAGCAGAATCAAGGTCTTGTGTATAGAAACCAATGCCTCTCAGAAGAAGAAAAGTAACTTGGTGCTCTTTGGTGCATCTGCAGTAGCATGCTGCAAAGAGAGGCTACATACTGAGCTTGCTCCTGTGGGACCTCTTCTTTTGGCATGGCTTTAGTCTGTGTTATTGCAAAGAAGCTATAAAAGTCAAGAGCATTTATTTGTTCCAAGTTTTAAGCAAATACTCCATCCAAGGGGCTGGAGCTTAGAAGATTTTGCTCACATGGTACACTTCAGTTTCCTGCACTTAAACACCACTTTTTACCTGCAAAGTAATAGCAGCAGCTCTCCAGATGGCAAGCCTGCATGCTTAGCAAATATCACATTTAATTTATTACAGTGTGCTGCATTCCAGCAATTACTAGTAGCTGCCAATAGCAACATGTATCTGACCTAAAGAAACATCAGAATTTTGTGTTCTGTTTGGAGTTATGTTGTGCTTTACTCCCACTTTGGTAGCACCTAATTTCAGACATATGGAAACAGTAATTTCACTTGAAGCAGTGGTTTCAAATATGCAGTCATCCAAAATGTCCATGTCTGAAGGGTATTTCTCCTTACTCTGAAGGGTATTACTCATCTTCTTTAAAGCACAACTACAAATTCTGTGAGGGCCACTGGGTTTCTTTTTTAACTTTTTAGATTTTTTTTTAACTGGGATGTAACAGCTGTAACCTGTGATCCAAGCCATGTGTCACACTGTCTGTGTGCTGCTTTCTCACACGTCAGACATTTCAACACCACATGTGCATTTCTGGGCACTGCATTAAGGGCTTGCAGGATTTTGCAGGATGCTGGGGTCTCTGCATGGTGCTGGCAGCTCATTCACTGCTGTCTGTCCTCTTGGATGAGCAGTTTGGCTCAGGTGAGGCCTCAGGTGGTGGTGACTCACCCCAGGTATCACTGTGTTTGGCACAGAGACAGCAGCTTGTTGGGCTGGTGGTTTCTGGTTTTACCCTCTGTAAAGAACAGGCAGTGCTGATCCACCTGCATTTCTGCTCACTGTTACAGTAGCTGCAAGGTCCAGTTCAAGGCAGCAATGTGCAGAACCCCACAGTACTCAGGGGCTTAGGGCCTTTTTTCAATGTATCACCCATCTTAATTTGGGTCAAAGGTGTATCTGCCTCACTTTCTATAAAAAAGAAAGATCATACTTTATGCATTCTGCCCTCATCATCATGAGTCATTCCTTAGATGCTTACTTCAACTCTTATGACAAAAATCCTCCCTCCCAGAATTTGCCATGATGTTGATCTTGAGGAGATTTATGATAGTGTAGAAAACAAGCTGCCAGGTCTCTGGGTTAATTTCAAAGACCCAGCCCTCAGAAATGCTGAAATGGCTCAGGGAGATGCCTTTCATCCTTCTGTAGCAGTGTGACTCTGGGCTTGCCCACGCAGTGGTGGCACTGGGGTGCTGGAGAGCTCTGGGAGAGCGATGCTTTTGGAAGGATGCAGTCACCTCCGCTGGGTGCCACCTCAGCACTGGGAACCAGAGAGGTAATTGTGTCACACACCATGTGTGGCACTTGGATGGTCTATTGTTGGGTAGAATCACCTCATCAGGAGCTTGGTAGGTCCCTGCTCTCCTTTGCTGCCTGTCCCTAATGCTGCAAGTCACCAGACCTGGTTATTTGTGATGTGGATGTGGCTCCAGCCTGAGGCAGGCAAGAGATGGAGGATCAACAGCCAGGGTGGGATTAGGAAGGAAAGGACAAATCTGGGCAGAACTGCCAAGCAAAGAGGTTGAAGGCTGTACTGATGTCAGGAACACTGCACTAAAATGCCCTGGGTTTGGTCTAAATAGTTTTCTTGGTGGAAGTAAACCTGTGTTCACAGGTCAGCACGTGCCCAGAGACCTCAGGGGCTCTGCTGAGCTGAGCCCCATGCCAGGGCAGCCTGGCTGCAGTCTGACCCCATGCAAGCAAGAACCACTGTTTCAACAACCAGCAAAGTGGTCAGTGATTTCTCTGCAGGTGTACAGAAGCCAAACAAACCAACTGAGCCTCTCCTCAGTAGGCAACAGGAAAGGAGGCAGATGGTGGGTGCCCACCTCCTGCCCTGGCATCCAACCTTGGTACAGCCAGCCTGGGTTTCCAGCAAGCCTCAAGCCTCTGCCCGTTTGAGGAGTTGGATGTGCAGCATTGTGAAGGAGACACATTCCCATGTCAGGGAATAATATCGGATCAGCTGCATGCAGAGAGGTCATTATAGACTTCCCCTGTGCTTAATACAGTGAATTAATTGTTTCACAACAGCAGTTTGTTAAGCATAGGCAGAAACCTCTAAATGTTAGCCTTGTATCACCAGTGTTTTAAGAGAAAGGCTGTGGCCAAGTTTTAGCCTGAATCACACAAAAATGCTACAAGTGCTGAGTATTTTCGTTGTTTTCCAGGGTGTAACCCTTCAGCCAATTTATTGCAAGGGAAATCAGAACTGGATCCACCAGCCAAACATAATCTGATCTAAGTAAACAAGATGCAGAAATAAACTCTTTCAGCTTCATGCTCAGACAGGAATACTAATTTTACTAGTATGCAAAAAAGGCTATCTTCCCTCCCATAGTTCAGATTATATTAATATTTCCTTTTCAACACACTAATCTTAAAATTATCCTTGGCTAGGGATCACTGTTGAGGGCTCAAGGGGCCCTTAGCAGATGTTAATTCTTTAACTGTGAGTGAGAGTGACTGTCCACTCTGCAATGCAATTATCTCATTCACTTTACATTCCCATCTGTGGTCAATTCAGATTAGCTCGCCTGAGTGTCCCCATTTAGACAAGCTGCAGCATAAAAGGGCTTACTGAAGCAGAGTCTCCTTGACAAGATTTTAGTAAATTAGTAACTTATTTTAGTGTTCATCTATTCAGAATACTGCTAATTAATCACTTGGAGACCTCAGCTATTGTTGCTCTTTGCTATTTATAGAAGAGGCATATTTGCAGTTTGATTATATTCCAGCAACAAATTCTAACATATTTTTAACTTTTGAAACATCACATTACCACCGTTTTGCTGTGGGATGCGTGTCTTACTGAGCATTTTATTGATCTTGTGCCTTCCCTATCGGAAAATCCTTCATATGTTCTGCCTTTCTGTTACTGCATGCAGCCTGCCTCTCTTCCTTAGGATTTGGACACCAGTCCTACTGGTTTTACCTGAAATTAGCTCTGTAGAGCAGAAGTAAAATGTGGATTT